AACATTTAAAAAAAATTTTTTTTATGCTTAAAGAGCTAGCTAATGACGGAATATGAGGGATGCTGGATTCACGACTCACAAGTAGATCCAAAACCTGTGGTCCTCTGAGTTTAGACAGTATTTATTGCCACTTAGCATTTGTTAGAATTTTGAAGCCGAATTTTGGGCCTTTTCATAGTCTGCAGGCTTTAAGATGCCGTGTTCACAGATGGACTTCAGGGACTCATGAATGTCCTGAAATTATATAGGTATTTTTGGATATCCATTTCGCTGTGCACTCTTTTCCTGGGATGGGTACCATAGACTTTATTAGAGTCTTAAAAGGATACATTACACTTTTCCTATCAAAAGGACAAAAGGAATTCAGCTGATAATTCGTACAAGTGATCCTTTCCACCAATTGCTCCATGAGAGTATTTAGCTTTCTCTTCCTATACATCCGACTGTCAACTCTGCCCACTTTAGAGCAAATTTAAGAATGTAAATGTAAACGTATAATGTTGAAATTGTTAGTAATTAGAAAGTCATAAATGAATAAAAAGATACAGCTGAGCAACTCCACTTCTGGACATCCAAAGGAATTAAAAGCAGGGTTTCAAAGAGCTATTTGTACATCCACGTTCTAGCCTCATTATTCGCAACACCAAAAGATGGAAGCAACTCAGTGTCCAGCAACAGGTGAATGAATAAACAAAACATGGTACCTGTGTACAATGGGGTATTACTCAGCCTTAGAAATGGAGGAAGTTCTGACATATGCTATGACATGACATGACATGACATGACATGACACGCTTGAGAACATTATGCTGAGTGAAACAAGCCAGGCACAAAAGATAAATACTATATGATTGCATTTATATGAGGTATCTAGAGGACTCAAATTTAAGAGACAGAAAGTAGAATGGACCTGAGGGGGTGGGGAAAATGGATATAGAGTTTAAGTTTTACAAGATAACAAATTCTAGAGATGGGTTGCTCAACATGTGAATATATTTAACACCATTAAATGGTATACCTAAAAATGATGAAGATGGCATAGTTTATGTGTAGTTTACTGCTTAAAAAAAAAAATAAAGATACAGATGAAGAAAGATCTGAGCTTCACCTGTAAGTGACAGAGGAGTCATGTCTTGACAGGTGAATCAACTTCACTTCTGACCCTGGTGTTCAAATTCATAAAGTCCAGAGTTTATAAGGGTCTTTCCACCTCTTTTCCTGCCTTAGGTGTTTTACTTATGAAGGCTGTGCCTTCTAGACTACAGTGGTACCAAACCTAGTCGAAATTCCACCTAGAATCTGGAGATTGGGTGATTCGCAGTTATGTATGTTTATTTTATATTTTAGTAGATATTTTCCTGAGGAGTTGAGATAGGTTATGTCAGTGGCTCTGATGCAATTGCCTTTTAAATTGTGTTTCTATTAATTACAAAAAGAGAAAAAAAAAAATCAGAATCCATGATGGGCCTAAACTGAGAAAAGAAATGTGGCTGCCTAGCTCCTGTGCTCTGTGCTAGGTAGAACCTTCTCTGACTGCTTCGGGAAAGGTAGGATATCTTAGCAAGAATAGGAGATATAGTGAGAAAATTAAATTGATTTAAGAATTTGACCACTCGAATTTATACTCAGACAACTCTAATTAAAGTTAATGTTTCAATATAAATGATGAATGTAAAGTAAAACATTTATGAGGATTGTTTTAGTTTGCTAACCTCATCTTTATGAAACTCCTTTACAAAGATTTCTCTCTTGGTTTCTAAAGTAACGAACTATATTAGTTTGTGAGGGCTACCATAAGCAGTGCCACAGACTGGATGGTTTAAACAACAGATCTGTACTTTCTCACAGTTCTGGAGGCTCAGAGTCCAAGGTCAAGGTGTCAGCAGGTGTGGTTTCTCCCTAGGCCTCTCTCCTTGGCTTGTAGACAGCCGTCTTCTCCCTGGGTCTTCACACGGTCTTCCCTTTGTGTCTGTGTTCTCATTTCTTCTTATAAGGAACCAGTCACATTGGATTAGAGCCCACCCTAATGATCTCATTTATACTCAATTAACTCTTCTCCAAATGCAGTCACTTTCTGAGGTACTGAGGGTTAGGACCTCAACATCTGGAGGTAGACACAACTCAACCCATAACACTGAATTTAGTCGTAATCTTTTCTTCTTAAAATTTTTTTCAGAAATTAAGTTGCTTTCATTGCTTATAAATCAGCCAGTTCAATCTTCAGTGTTTTTTGTCTCTTGAAGAATATAATCCTGGGTAGAGTCCTTTAAGTATTTGGATATTATATACTTGGGTAGGTATTTCTCAGGCATATTTTCTATTATAAAGTGAAACAGAACCAGTAACTATGAACTAAACATTTATTCTCCCGGCCATCATTAAAAATTCATGTGTTTATGTGTATAATTGTTCACACAACTTTCTTCTCCTGTGTTAGGGAGCATCCTTCACCATTACCTCCACCCCCTTCCATTGTTTAGTGACTTAACAGTTTATAAAGCGCTTTAATGTGTACTACATTTCACTGTATGAAGAGTAGAGAGAGGAGATGTGAAGGACTCTCCCCATTTACACATGATAGAACCAGGAGGTTCAGATTGTTTCTGGATTCCATTCACCACGTCTTTCTCAAGCCCTGCTGTCTATAGACACTGTCCTAGGTACTTGGAAAAAGCTGTGAGTAAGATCAAGTTTCTGCTCTCATGGGATGTAAGTACTAGTGGGAAAGACAAGAAGCAAATAGACAAATATGCAGATATCACAATTCCAGGTAGTGATACATACTGTCCATGACAATGAAGTGAGTAAAGGGGTGAAAGTGGCTACAAAGTGGTCGTGGCTGTCTTTGCTGGGGTGTTCTCTGAGGCTTGACTGAAAGAGGAAGAGGCACATTTGTTTACAGGGAGAGGTAGAAGAAAGACCTACAAGGGCACTGTAGGCATGGTAAAGACCTTGGCGTTTACTCTGGATTGAAGAGAAGCCCTTGGGGGCCATTGAGAAGTGAGTGGTCCTTTGACTCCTGCTTTACAGCTCTCTCACTTTCCCTCACCACACGTCTCAGGAGGGATTTGAACGAGTGTGGAAGATATTTATGTAATTCCCTTTTGATTCTTACTTTCTTTGTATATTTAATGCTTTTTATTTTTAAAGGAACAAAGAGTATCTTCTTAAAGATATATGACAACCTTCTCATGGTGATGTACCTAGAACTATTGAACCCCAAGAAAAAAGAGCACAGCTGCTCTTAACTGCAAATGAATCAGATCTGTTCTTCCCCTTGTAATATTGAGACTTTGGGGGGGTCATTTGTACCAATGAGGAAGGGCAGAGGACAGCCCGATACTTTTTTCTTCGACCCTCATTATCTACTTGTTATCTTTCCTTGGCCCCTCCTCTTCTTCCTGTGCCTGTTCCTTAGACACTGGGTCCTTCAGGCTTCTTCTCCACTTACTGCACTGTCTATCTCTGTGTAGCATCATCCACTCCCATGGCTTCCACGATGGCATCTCTAACCCACCTGCATTTCTAACCAGATCTCTATAGCTCTAGATTCATGGTTCTTTTTTTTCTTTTAATTTTTTTAATGTTTATTTATATTTGAGAGAGACAGAGACAAAGCACGAGCAGGGGTGGGCGGAAAGAGAGGGAGACACAGAATCCAAAGCAGGCTTTGGGGTCTGGGCTGTCAGCACAGAGCCCAACACGGGGCTCAAACTCAGAGACCATGAGATCATGAC